GTATAAATAGCAGAATACCAAAAGTCGTAGCACCCTTGCCGAATGGCCGAATGAGCCGAATGTTTTGATATATGAATTCATAAAATAATAAATATAGTTTGAATCCCATGAAGCATTCAAAATGTCATGATTGTGTGTGTGTGTGTGTGTGCCCCCTATATTTTCTTACACCCCTAGTCTCTTGTCCCTGCCTGGTATATTTTTGTAAGGTAAAAATACCCTTAATGACAGTYTTTTTGTGTGTTGTGTTTATTCTTCTCTCTGTAGGAGAGGTTCAACAGGAATCCATTACTTTGACGTGAACATGAACTCGTTGTTCGTTCTTCCTCGGAGCACGTCCGTGTGGGTGAGTCTGATCCACGCTTTTATTTACATTTTCACCTTCTGGATGCAAATGGTTTTAAAATCCAGTTGCAAGTTGCTTGTAAGCCAACATACTTGATGCTTGACAGGATCAATTTAATTAATAGTAAACAAATTTTAAGATACTTATCAAATATTGCAATAATGTAATACTAGATACTAGTCGTTTTACTCAGTCTAAACCCAAACATGTTAACTTTGCTTGTCATAAATTCAGTTTATCTCTCAGAAAGTTGAGTTTATTCACTTTAGTTWCAGTTTGTAAATGTCCTGTATAATATTGTGAAGTTGATGGGTGTGTTTGTGTCCCTGCAGTCCCTGTCGTACTCTGAGTGGTTACACTGCGTGTTGTCAGCAGACCTGCTCGGTGAGGTGATCCTGGTCATGCTGCCTCCCCTCAGCTTCTCTGTCCCCAACATCAGGCGACCAGCAAACAGACGTTTTGTACGTTTTCAGATCTCCCCCTTGTTTTTTAAAAACCTCATTTACATCCTGAACCCCTCCACCTTTGAATAATTACTCCCCTTTCCCCCCTCAGCCTGCCTATTTTACGTCTAAGGTACCTTATGATGCAACAGAAGTGGAGCGTGAAGAGGAAGGACATGATGATGTTGATGGTGGGCAGGAAGGAGGAGAAACAGACAAACCAGCTGCTGAGTCTGAAGGAGGAAGTGTTGGAAAAGACACGAGTCTGACCTACAAGGAGGCTGTTAAGAAATACTCCCTGCATTATACGGACTTCGATATGGTGAGTTCGTGTATTCTCCTCACGTTTAGAGTCGAACTTTTCATTCTTTTGCTGTAATAATTAGGGGTGTAAGAAAATATCGATACACTGAAATTTGCGATATTTAATTTCCCGATACTGTATCGATTTTCTAAAGCCCTGTATCGATTTTTTATTAAAGTTTAAAACGTCAACTTTTCTGCCAGCCGTTCATTTTAATGTTG